GACATGAGGACCACCACCAACTTCTACCTGTCCAGCATGGCCTTCTCCGACCTGCTCATCTTCCTCTGCATGCCCCTGGACCTCTTCCGCCTCTGGCAGTACCGGCCCTGGAACTTTGGGGACCTCCTCTGCAAGCTCTTCCAGTTCGTCAGCGAGAGCTGCACCTACTCCACCATCCTCAACATCACCGCCCTCAGCGTGGAGCGGTACGTCGCCATCTGCTTCCCCCTCCGAGCTAAAGTCATCATCACCAAGGGGAAGGTCAAGCTGGTCATCTTCTTCCTCTGGGCCATCTCCTTCATTAGCGCTGGACCCATCTTCGTCTTGGTGGGGGTCGAGCACGAGAACGGCACGAACCCCCTGAGCACCAACGAGTGCCGAGCCACGGAGTACGCCATCCGCTCGGGGCTCCTCACCATCATGGTCTGGACCTCCAGCATCTTCTTTTTCCTGCCCGTGTTTTGCCTGACTGTGCTCTACAGCCTCATCGGGAGGAAGCTCTGGAGGAGAAAGAGAAAGAACATCGGTCCGAACGCTGTCATCAGGGATAAGAACAACAAGCAAACTGTGAAAATGTTAGGTACGGCTCTTCTTGCTCTGTTTCTCCAAAGGATGTGTGTGTGGTGTGTGTGTGAGAGAGAGTAAAACTGAGAGAGATCTGGTAGCTCAATGTAGTTGCTTCCAAAGGAAAGCATTTGTTGAAAGTATTTCATCCAAAAGGGTTACACTTCAGGGTATTCGTAGAATAACTCTTCTCCTTCCTCAGATTTATTTCTAACTGGTTTGAGCTGGGGACTCTCAAACAGTTAAACAGATGTTAATAACAATCACTGACAAGGACAAATACTACAGTTACAATTAGCTAGTGCCCTGGAGATTTTTGAACATTTTTTGCTCTTTGGTTGTGGATACCAATGTTATTTACAGAAGGATAGTTTATTTGATTTTTAAACAAAACTAAACCCTTCTCAAACCACATAGTTGAGCTGTGGACTAAGCAAGCAGGATACGATGTGCACTTAGCTTCATATGAAGAGTACTGAGGTTTTAGCTAATTGGGGTTATGCACTAGCATGACTGTGTAAGCTTCTGAAAATTAATCTGCATTTTTCTATTAGCAAAACACCAGGATGTGCTGAACAGGGAGCATGGTGCCTCCTTTGAGGCTGGTGATCCTGTAAATTCTCACTGACTTGAAGAAAACGAGATCAAGATGACAGACACTGTCGTTCCTAACTTTATACATTTACATTGATGAATGCTGTAAACAACAGTTATTGCTGGCACGTGGAAATGCAAATTTTAACACACTAAATCAGTGCACGGGGTGGGAGTTTGATGCACAAAACCAAAAAGTTGTTCTGCAGTGTAGTGGTGGCTGAAAACTGCAGAATCCTTCCTTTTATCCAAGCAGAAAGTCCTCCGCAGTGCAAGTCATCCCACGGATTTCGGTGGGGACGAGATGCTTTGCATGAAGAAGGTTTCACGGGCAGCAGCTCTGCTGTGCTCATTGCAGCGGGGTTAAAGTGATGGGCTAATGAGCTAGACGAAGAGGTGGCAGTGTGTCCTAAGTACCTTAATTACTAAATGGGAGCCTAACTGATTTTTTGTTCGTGTTGTACTCTATTACTATTCAACAGCAGGAAGAATAATAAAACCCACGGCATTCTTTGTGCCCTTTCAGCTACGTTTTCTGATAAATAGAATTACTTCAGTCTGGTAAGCGTGACCTTGGAAGTAATTCATCACTTAGACTTCTAGAGTTTCAGGATTATGGATCTCTGCTTACAATAAGTACATTGCTAGCATATATTACTGCCGTGTTTATATTTCTGTATGCTGAATCGTAAAGAATTTTGAGATAATAACTGTTTATTTCTGCCCTGAAGTATTGCCAGAAGCATTACAATATTTCAGACACCTTCTTTTGCAGGTCTGAGAACAGCAAGGCTGTCCTCTGACAGAGAGCCAGTATTCTCTAAATGCTACCAGTCTGAGGTCTGATGGAAAGATGGAAAGAGAAGTTAGTAAGGGCTCAGTACCAGCAGATGCTCAGTGCAGTCGGCTCTCATTGGTTTTAATGTTCTGCTTAAAATTTAGAAGGCACTTTCCAAGACTTGAGCAAGTCATGGAACATCAAGTAAATGGGATTGGCATCAACACTACTTCTAAATTGTAGACAAAAGTTATGCTTCTAGGTCTGTAATGAAACACCTACATGTATAGCCTGATTTGTGAAGGAGCTATCATACCCCATTCCTCCAGTAAACAATGTGATTCTGTGTGTGTGAAGATCACACTGTGTCCTGGTTTTTAGCTGGATCAGAGCTGGGTTCCTTTTTAGTAGCTAGAACAGTGCTGTGTTTTGCTTTCAGCCTGGGATTTGTTATGAGAGAAACACTGAGAACACACCAGCATTTGCATTTTTGTCACTGGAAGTGAAGGACTTCATGTTTTGTTAGTCTACAAGCACAAGATCTAAGAGGATGACTAGGGATATGCACGCCTACAAGTTAAAAGATTGACTATGCTTAAAATTCTGTTTGTAATGACCATGGTGGTAATATTCATTCCATGGATTAAACTCCACCTGAATTTTGTAGATGAAGAAACTGAGGAAAAAAAATGGAGTGGCTAGCTCAAGATGATGTAGGGCTCGAAAACGTACTCTGAACCTTAGCTCTGTGCTTTGAAGTCCACCATAAGCCCTGCATAAGTATCTGTTTAAACCTGGGAATGCTTTTTTCAGAAAGTTTTTGGGGAAAGATGCCAATAGTCATCCCTCTTAGCTCTTTGAATGTTATTATCTGCTGTGACTTGACACGAGAAAGCAGGATTGCTAACACGAGAGAACAGGTTAACTGGTAAAAATTGCTTAAGAATGTCAAAAATCTCACTGGAGTTTTCTGGTTTTTCTCTCTCTGGTATATTAATAGATACACTCAAAGCAATATGAAAAATAATAAAGGTCAATAGCACACAGGAAATGAACAGAAAAAAAATGTTTCCCTTTCTCTAGGGTGGAAATTCAAATGGGCCAGTGTTCAAAGAGACACACATTCCTGTTATTCTACATACATTATATTTACATATAAATGCAACTATAGTGATAGTGCAATATAACAGATATACTATATTATTATACATTTATATAT